CTGCCTGCGGAATGAAGTCCAGACCTTCAGCTAGAAATCGAGCCTGCGTTCTATCCCAGCTTACCTCATCGCTCATGTCTGCCACTGTCCTACCATTTCCAGTAGAACCACTGGCTCAGACTTCTAGCTTGCTGGTTCTTACCCCTTTTCTAGCTTTATTGAGCTGGAATTGACACAGAGCATTGTGTAAGCTTAAGGCGTCCAGTGTTATGATTGGATGGTACATGCATGTGTGTTGGGGAATGTTTACCATAATAAGGTTAGTTGACACCTCCGTCCCCTCATATAATTACTGTCTTGATGTCATGGTGAGAACATGAAAGCTCTCCTCTCTCAGCCACTTTCGAGTATGCAATACGGTGTCGTTAACTACAGTCACCATCGCTGTCCGTTAGATCCTCGGAACTCCTTTATCCTATAACTGAAAGTTTGTGCTCTTTTACCAACATCTCCCCATGCTCCCAACCTCAGCTGCTGAGGGCCACTCCTCTGCTCTCTGTTCCCATGAGTTGGATGTTTTTTAGATTCCACGTGTAAGCGAGAGCTTACAGTGTTCATTTTTCTCTGTCTGATTTATTTCAAGTAGCATAATGCCTGTAAGGTCCGTCCATGTTGTCAAAATTGACATGATCTTCTTTTTCATAGCTGAGTAATATTCCATCATATATACACACATTGCAATTTCTTTATCTACTCGTTCATCGATGGGCACTAAGGCTGTGTCCATGTCTTGGCTACTGGGAATACTGCTGCAGTGAGCATCAGGGATGCAGGTATGTCTTCATAATAGTTACTTCCTTTGGATGTATACCCAGAAGTGGGTTTCACGTGGTAGTTCTAGTTTTAATATTTTGTAGATCCTCCATGCTGTTTCCCGTGCTTCTTGCTCCTGAGTGCACATCAGAATCCTGGGAAGCTTTAAAAATTTTTTTTAAATGTTGATTGATTTTAGAGATACAGGAAGGGAGAGAGAGAAACATTGATGTGAGAAACATCAATCATTTGCCTCTCATACCTCCCTGACTGGGGATTGAACTCATAACCTAGGTATGTGCCCTGACCGGGAATCGTACCCCCAACCTTTTGGTGTGTAGGATGATGCTCTCACTGAGACACACAGGCCAGGGCATTGGCGAGCTTTTTAAAGACCTGATTGCCAAGCCTTGTCTACAGAGATTTGGTTTAGTTGGCCTGAGGTGCGGCCAGGGTGCTTTTGTTGTTGTTGTTTTGTTTTTTGGAGTCCAGGTGATTTTATTATGCAGCCAGAGCTGCGAACCATTGTTCCGCTGATCTACAGCACACTAGTTGGGTAAGTCCCATGCTTTCCTCCCTCCACGTCCTTGTTCACACCATCCCCTCCACCTGGCACGCCCGTCCTGTCCTCCTCCTAAGCTGGCCAATCCCCCTCGTCCTTAAAGAATCCCATAGGGTGCAACTCATCTGCAACTCCACCACGAAGCTCCCTGATCCCATCAAGTATGACTTCTCCCTTCTTAAGACCTTCTGTACTTCCTTCTGACATGCAGTCTGTTTGGCATCACTGTTATTTTTTAAATTTATTTTTTCTATGAGATTGTTGGCTCTTTGAGAAAACTGTAGCTAGTTCATCTTGCTCGTCACTCAGTGGGATACTTCCTTAGTAGCGGCTCAGTAGATACTTTGTAAATTTACTCTGTTCTAGCTTCTTCTACATTTTGCACCATTGCTGCCTCTGCCTGGAACCCACTGCCCCAGATATCCCCATGGCTGTCACTTGTTCGAGTGACATTTATAGTCACTTACCTATTTATTGCCCGTCTCTTCTCACTGGAATGTGCACCCCACAAGGAGAGGCCTTTGTTCTGTTTGCTGTTGTGTCCACAGTGCCCGGCACGTAGTAAGTGCCCAGGAAAAACTTCTCGAGTTTACTGCATGAACTTCATGGACATTCATCCTATTTTGTGTAATCCTCGTAACAACCCCCAGCAGGCAAGGTGGGCGAGACCAAACCCACCATCAGGTAATTCTTGGACTCTTTGAGTTCCGAGCAGGAATATGGCTGCTCAGTTGCCACAGGAATAAAGGGGCTTGTTTCTCCTTCTTTTCTCACGCCTTGTTCCTTGCTTCACTCCCGTAGGCTTCATGGGCTGATCTCTCCCTACCTGCATGTGCGAGCTCCACCACTTCCCTGCACATGGCTACTCCTTGGGACCAGACACACCAGCCGTGAGCCCACTCCTTGGGAGGCAGTGACCCTGGGGCGGGGTGGGCAGGGGGTTCTGGGCCCCCGATGGGGTGCCCCCTGGGCCTCTCAGACTTCTCCCACGGTAGGGAGGATGCACTTGGAGGAGGCCTGGACGGGATCTTGTAAGCTGGGACCTGTTTTGTGTCAGTCTAGGGGGATGGACCCTCTCTCCTCCCAAAACCAGATGGTAAGCCTTTTGAGGACCTGAGCTATTTCTCCCCCTCTCCCAGCAGCTGTGTGGTTTAACTGGAAAACGGAAGATGGGGGCTGAGCCTGAGGTGAATAAACTAATCTCATTGGCTTGTTTCTTTATCTGTAACATGAGAAGTGGATGCAAAAACCTCTGAAATGGCTTCTTTTACACCTTCCTCCCCCTGACAAGGAATAGGCCACAGTAGGGACTCAGAGCTGTTTTCTGGGATGAATGCTCTAAGGCCTTGGCCTCATTCCTCTTCACGTCAGGAGAATGTGTGTGGGTGTGTGGGCATCCATGTGGGGGCATGTATGTGCACTTGCACGCTTGCTCGTGCGCACACACACACACACACACCCTACCTTCTGCCACTCATTCCACCTTGGACTTCCGAGTCACCGAACTCACCAGAGGAAGTGTTGGGGCCCAGGGAGGCATTTTTCTACACACTGAAGGGGATGCTCTAGATCCTAACAGAAGTAATATTGGTTTTGCTCCTTAGAAGCTTGGAGACTATGGGACCCTAGGGAGCTCACTTTCCTGGGAAAGTTGGTGACCCTCAGTCATTTCTATGATCTCAAAATTGTGACTTTTATTCCCAAAGGATGTCAATCCCTTCTTAACGTCTGCGTCAACATTTCGTCTCCTTGAGTTGCCTGAGAATCTAGAGGGAGCCTCCTTTCTCTGACACCCTGGGTTCTGGCGTGGGTGGGTGCTTCCTGGAGGCTGGGGCCGCATTTGAAAGGTTAAACCTCTCCTCGCCCTCAGGTGGATGCTCTGGTTGAAACCAGCAAATGTATAATGAGGGTTTACCGTACCCCTCCGCCCCCCCGCCCCGCCCCGGTGCTGTGGGAAACCCTAAGCAGGATGACACCAGCTTCAAACTTCATATTCATTTGGTTGGGGAGGCCCAGCCTAATTTCATGCAAGATAAAATAACAGGACAAGACAATTTAAGAATCACGCCAAGGTGGTCAAATGAAGTTTTTCCACAATGAGTTCCGAGAACAAAGAAAAGTGCATACGAGGTCCCAGATCTAGGGCCATCGTGTCCAGGGATCAGACGAGCTGGGACAAGCGTTGCCTCCACATAGTAACTCACTCGGAGTTCCTGAGCCGGAGGGCAAGGTCTGCGACGCTTTCTGTCGGTGGGGGTGGGGGTGGAAGAGAGGGGGAGCAGCACCGTTTATAAAGAGGCGGAGGCATAAGAGAGTACAAATTGGAAACATCAACAAAACTATCTTTAACCTTCATTCTCAATGACCTTCCTTGAAACGAATGGGTCGGTGCCTACGGAAGAAAGCGTGAGAAGGGCCTGTGACTGCTGGAGGGGTGAGCTGCAGGGATGGGCCCGCGGGGGTAAAGGGCCGGGAGCACGACCTGGGCCCTCCTTCTGCCTGTCGCTGTGGATCCTTCGCGTTTCTTACCGCCCACCATCGTCTCCCAGGCTAGTGCGACAGTGTCTGCAACCCAGACCTCGAGTGCCTGCCTCGTGCACCGCAGCAGGACGCAAAGGTGCAAAATCGCCAATGCCACGCCGCGTGACCTTTAAACCGCAGAGCGGCCTCGGAGTTAGAAGCCTGGCACGCGGCAGGTCCCGGACAAACATTAACTCCCTTCTAGGCTTTCCCCCCCCCCCCCCGCGCAACAATAACCCCCCAACGCTAATCCTCTGACGTTCTCTCCACCTCCCCAAAGCGCTGCTTTCTCTAAAAGGGCCTGGACAAACGCGGTTCTCTCCAGCACCACGTCGGTTCGGTTCGACAGGCGCCTTCTGCAGGCCTACTACGTGGGGGGAGAGTGCGGGCCGCCCCGGTCGGGAGCGTCTGGTCCCAGGGACCCGGACGGGGGGCCGAGCCTGCAGACGGGAGGAAGGGTGGGCAGGGCTGCCCGGGCGCTTTTCTCACCCCTCTACTGCCAGTCAGGCTCCTGGGAAGCGAGCCGACCTTCCCGCGGCTTTGTCCTCTCTGCCGCCCCGAGGACCGTCCCACAAACGCAGGCGTCCCGCTCCCACCTGCTGCCCCGCACACAGGCCGGCAGAGCGAAGCCGGGCGCCGGGGGAGGAGCGAGAGGCCCGCCGCGCTCCGGGCCGGCCGGGTTTCCGGCTCTGACCCCGCCGGCCGGCCGGCCTCCTTCCCTCTCTCCGGGCGCCCCCCGGGACGGAACGCGCGGGGCCACCCGGCGGCGGGACCCGGTGTGGGGTGCGGGCCGGCGCAGCGCCGGCTCCCCGCCGGGCCCGGGCCTCCCGCGTCCGCCCGCGCCCCCTCCCGGGAGGCGGGTCCTGGGGGAGGACCCGGCCCGGCCCCGCGCCGCGCAGCCCCGGCGCATCCGAGCCCGGCGTCCGCCGTCCGGCCCCCGCGCAGGCAGGCGCCCGGCCGGCCGGGAGGTGGTGCTCGCCCGCCCGCCCGCGCCCGGGCCCGCGCGTTGCCCGGCAGCGGCTCCGAGGCTCCGAAGGGGGCGGAGCGGCGAGGCCGGCGTGCGGCTGGCGGCCCCTGTCCGCGGTTCCGGCCCCCGGCCCGCCCCCGCCTCGCCGGCCTCCCTCCGCGCCGGTGCGCGGCGCCCCGTCCCAGCCGCCACCGCCGCCGCCGCGGCCGCCTCGCCGGGGTCTGAGAGCGCCGAGCCGCAGGGCCCGGCCGGGACTGCCGGGGGCGCGGCGCCGACGCCGAGGCGCGGCCATGGACGGGAAGACCCGCGCCGGGGTCGCGCTGGTCCCGGGGCCGAGCGGCCGCGGGCCTTCCGCCCGCCGCCGCCGCCCGGGGCTGCTGCTCCCCGGCCTCTGGCTGCTGCTGCTGGCCCGGCCGGCCTCGTGCGCCCCAGGTAAGCACCGCGGAGACCCTCGGGCCGCCGCCGCCGCGACCCTGCCTTCCTTTATTGCTGCTATTTTCAAAATCCGGCTTTCCCCGCCCAGACTCTTTTATTCTCCACCGCTCCCTCGCCCTGCTTTCTGGAGATGCTTTTCCATTCTTCTTGGGCCCAGCAAATAAAGGTACGGAGGAGATAAAGCAGAGAGCTAGCGGATTGTGGCCAATCTTGCTAATCATCTGCAAAGCTATCCTGTTATCCTCGGAGCCCGAGGCGGGTCAGCTGGCTTCGTCTCCGATTGTGCCTTTATTTTCCCTGCAAAATGCAGGCAGTGGAATTGTATTTGTGCATGGCTGTGTCACTGGTATATGAAATGTTTGGGAATAATACTTTCTGTCAGGCAGAAGGGGGACAGTCAGGGGTTGTGTGTGCTTTAAAGCGGTGTTGCATTACTCTGAGTATCCCTGCGTCCCCCCAGATGCAGGAAGGCTGGCCGTGTCCCCCAGTACGCCAGGACACAAAGAACATTCAAAGAATCTCTCTTGGAAAGCGCCCTGGCCATAGGTCTTTCCAGGGAACTAGCTATTGCTTTTACTTCTGCAAAGGCATTAGTACAATAGAGTGTGCAAATATTGTGATTCTTAAGTGTCAAGGCATGAAAGGAGTCGGGGTTGTTTTTACAATAGATACAGTTTACTGACGGGTCGTCAGCCTGGAATTAAGGGCATGATTTATGAAGAAGCACGTAGGCGGGTTTTGTTGTTCAGGAAATGATTTAATTCGTATCGCTCCTCTGAAATGTTTATTTGTCCACCCTGAGCACACACACAGGATGGTCTGGAAACCATCTCTGAGCTGACAGGCTGCAAGCCGGTGGTGGCCTCCGGCGCGCGCACACTTGACCACTTTGGGGGCTCACTTTGGTGGAGTGAGCGGCTGTGGGTGGACACAGAGCAAAGACAGAAAGCCACGGAAGCCACTCCGAACCCTCCCTTCTCTTGGGAGCAGGGCCAGAGGACTGCCAAGTGGCTTTGGAAGGAAGCGGAGCGCGTTTGAAGGTGTCCCTGAGACCTCGCTGTTGGAATTATAACCAGCGCCGTGTGGGGGCTGGTCCGGTGGAAGCCCAGGAGGAGACTCCAGGGGTGGTAGAGTGGAACCACTCCTGTCCCTGAAGAGGAAACTGACTTGCTCAAGGTCACGGGCTAGTTTGTGCAGAGTCATCAGTTTTCAGCTCACCCCGCTGCCCTGACCGGTAGGCGCACACACACCCGGGCCCTCCGCAGAGCTGTCCCCGGGCCGGTGGAGCCGGCCTCAGGGGGCCACATCAGAGCTGCGGCTGCAAGATGGGCCTCTTCCCCGGAGTCTATTGAGGCTGCAAACAACTTTGCCTCAATGTAGCACCTCGGGGCTCAGTTCTGCTCCCTGTGTGTGGCAACCCCGTGTGTCCAGAAGAGGAGAGGAGACCCTGGGCTTTCTGTGAGAAGAAACGATCGTGAAGACTGCCCTCGGCTTGAGTCAACAAAGAAAGCCCATCTGATACTGATGGGGTCCTCTGCTGCGGGACAGGCAAACCAATCATTTCCATTTACTGGGGGCGGCCTGTGTGCCGAGTGCTACATTCTGGATGTGAGACCCAGTCTCCTTGTGGGGTAGGCGTCACTGTCCCCATTTTACAGATGAGGAGACTAAGGCTGCAGGAGTTTAGGTTAGTTTGACTCCAAACTCTGTACACTCCAAACACTTAACCTCTGTACAGCTTCCCCATGCCAATGTGGCCCTCTTGGATATATAGCAGAGATGGCGAAGATAAGGGACTGTTTTGATAATTCCGATATCAGTAGTGGAGTGGTTTGTTCTGTTCTTCCATAACTTTCTCTTCTTTAGAAGTCCGTTCCCGTTTCCCCTCAGTGCACGAAACACAGGCAGGCAGACCCCCGTTTTAGTGCACGTGGGTTCACTGCGCTTCACAGGTGTTACGTCGTTTTTAAAATTGAAGGCAACACCCTCCACCAGCAAAAAGATCGCGACTCGCTCTGTTAGGGCAGCCTGGCAGCGGCCCACGCTGCAGCGTCTCCGAGGGGTACCTGTATTCAGCCTCAGACATGTAACGAGTTACACGTCCACTCTGGAGCCGGCATCGCAGAAGCAGCCCAGTCCTCGTCCTCTCACTGACGTGTGCGTCGGGCTCCTCCGGTTCGCGCAGCTGCTTCTAGGCTGGGTACAGACCAGGAGGCAGCTGTCCTCTAGGATCCCGTTTGGAAACACGAAGCCGTGTGCAAACCACCGCAGACCCTCTCGTGGGCTGTTCACGGGCGAGGAAGGCAGTGGGTTGAAAGCGTTCCAGGGCAGATCGGTCACAGGTGGCCCGGGATCCACTTCTTGAAGGCTGCGAGGATTGAAACCCGTGCAGGGTGGTTTCCTGATTAACACACGGTGAGTGGCGGTTGGTCCTGGGAAGAGGTTGCGCTCCAGTTGTTTGGCCCTGGTCTGCTGTCTGTGCCGCCAGGACCCTCCGGCTCCCAGCCCTGTGTGTTGTGTTTTCACCCTCGCAGCGCGGGTGGCAGAGGCTTTGCTGGACTCCGGCCTGGTGGTCTCTCTGAAGCGTAAGCGGCATCCATCGGAGCTGGGCACGTCCTAAACCCGTTTAGGATTTCTGAAGAGAGACTCCCGTCGCTCGCTCCTGTGGCGGTCTGAAAACTCCCCGCTCCGTCAGGGGGTTTCTCGTTCCTCCTGAACTTTTGTTAAATGGAGTCTGCTTTCGGGCTTTATTTGAATTTCTATGTTCTGTCGATTTCTTGTCTATTTCCATTTCATTCAGCATTTTGGATGGGCCCGTTTTTGTTTGTTTCCGCATTTGTAAGTGTGGTCTCGACTGTCCGCTGTTGTGGAAACAATCTGTAAGACTTGGGGTTTGCTTTTGAACGTTGTGCTGTTAGGAGACCCAACACCCACAACGTAAAAGGAAAGGATTGTGCCCATTTTTTCATGGTGTTTCTTCAGGGATAAATATTTCTCAACATGGTAGTTCTAATGAAACTGAGAACTTTGCAGATCACTTGAAAAGTATAGAAAAGCAGGAAATTCTTCCACAACCCATAGAAGACACTGTAGGTAGTTTTGTCTTTTCTTTGTTAACGTTGAAAAAAATGAAAATTGAATTACTTGCACAATTGCATTTACTTCTTCCACTCGATATTTAATTTCAGCATTTCCCTGTTAATGGTTTGAAAACACAGTTTTTCATCCTAATAATTACTTAACAATTCCTTTATTATTTCCAGTTTTCTTTTGCCTGTTATAAACAATGCTATGATAATAGGTATTTAGGTAAGGCTTTGTCTGAATTTCTTTGTGTGTGGGCTTTTTTTTTTTAAAGGATACATTCTACAAGGGAAATTAGAATGTAACTTAAATCTGAGGCCCACCAGGCTGGGTCTTTGAATGTTTTGGTCAGTATGGTGGGTGCCTAATAGTGGTTGTTGATTGAATCAACTTTTTATATGAAACTGTAATGCTGAAATAAACCCTAGCAGGTTATGTGGTAGCCTGATTCACATCAACATCACTAGCATTGAATATTATTAGTAGTTTTAAAATCCATGTTAAATAGATTTTTAATACATTGCTTTACGTTTGAGTTGAGTATTTTTTTTCAGTTTGTATGTGTAGTCCATGAATTTTCTCTGTGTTTTTGCTCATGTATCCGTTGCGGTATGTATATTTAAATCTTTCTATTTATTTATTTATTTTAAAATATTTATTAAGGGAGGGAGAAAGAGAGGGAGAGAAGCATCAATGTGCAGTTGCCTCCTGCACACCCCCTACTGGGGACCTACTTGGCCAGCTACCCAGGCATGGGCCCTGACTGGGAATTGAACCAGCAACCCTTTGGTTCACAGGCCAGTGCTCAGTCCACTGAACCCCACCAGCCAGGGCTGAGTCTTTCTATTTACATCGTGGGTAGCAAACATCTTTTTCTCTCCTATGTGTTACATTTTCCCCTTCCCATGGGGTTGTGAAAATTTTTACGTAATTTTGAAATTCAGGAGTTTTTGATGATTTCGATTAGCAAAATCAGCTGTTCTGTGTTGTATTTTTTTCATGGCATTTATACTTAACAGCAGGTTAAATTTTTATCTTGCTTGATGTGCTATTTTATTCTTAGCCATTTTGAGGTGAATATTTGTTATACTTTGTAAGTGGTTTGGTATCCTATAAACAAAGCCTAAGATAAATGTTTAAAAGTGTGAGCCCTCGACCTCCTGCATCACCACCTTGGGGGTGGTGGGAGAGCTGTCGCTTGTTGAGACTGTAGGTTTCTGGGGCTTGCCCTTGACCCGCATTAGAATTTTTGGTGGGGGTGCCTGGGAAATCTTCATTTTTAACAAGTTCACAGCTGATTTTAAGGCACTTTAAACTTCGGAACCACTGACCCAGGTACTATAAATCCAATAACTGAAAATTTAATAGCAATTTGGGGGGCCAATAATGGCACTTAATATCTTGCAATTCCCTTTCCATTGTTAGAACAGTTCATTTGAAGCAGGACATTGAAACAGTTATTTTCCCATCTGTCTATCTCCGTTGCTTGGCTTTCCTTGAGTTGGGAGTCAAAGGGCCTGCCTGGAGGACTTCATTTGAAATTTTCACTCCCGTTCCCTGGGGAACAGCTGTCGCAGCCTTTGTCAGGAAATGCCTCCCTTAATCCTGAAAACAGAGCTCAGCCAGGGCGTTGCTGAAAGTCGCCAGGGACCGGGGAGCCACAGGTTTTCTCTCAGTGCCCTGGGTGCTCGAGGCAGCTAATTACTGTAATTAGACTCACACTAGCTTGATTTTCCCAGATAGGAAGATGCTGTTCTAACTGATCTAATTTGTTGCCAAGTTGTGACCACCCACCTTTCAGCTGCAGCTCCCAGCCATGGGGTTCCTCTTTCACAAGCCTCGGCAGCATGGTCGGTGGGAAAGCACGTTGGACCGTGAGCTGGCAAACCCGTGAGGGCTCTTTGCTGCCGCTG